CTGTTAGCTGCCGACTCCTCAGGGCAGAGACTTCTCCTCCCACTGTCCTGCCACCGAGAGGAGTGTGGAGAGGAGTGTGGAGAGGAGTGTGGAGAGGAGTGTGGAGAGGAGTGTGCTCTGGCAGGGGCCGCTCGCTTCCCTGAGCGCCCTGAGCAGGACGGCCACTTGTTGGTTCTCGGTCCTGCTGGGAGGTGCTGGCGGCTGGACAGGTGCCCACGATGCTCCTGCCTCTTCAGCCCCGGCCACAGGGAACACGGCCCCGCCTCGTTCTGTTGGGAGTCTCCTCACAGCTGCCCCGGGCTGGCCTGCACCGCCAGGCCCTCGGAACCTTTGTCCCTGGGGCCGCGTTCCCTGCGGAGGTCAGAGCCCGAGGCCTCCTCCCCGGTGGTCGCCTGGCACGTGCTCCCGTGCGTCAGCAGAGAGCACTCCCAGCTCCCAGCACTGGCCCTGCCTCTGCAGTCAGCTCTCTGAGTCAGCCCTTGAGGTTCAAGAGGGAGTGAGCTGCGCGGAGTTCGGTGCCAACTCTCCGAGCGCCGAGCGCCATGGGGCGCAGGCCAGAGCTGCTGGCTGATGCGGAGACAGGTGGCCCTCGCCCTCCCCAGGAGGTCACGGCAGAGAAGCCAGTGCTGTCTCGGGGCCACTGCAGGGAGCGGCTCTGTGACCTGGGGTCAGGCGCTTAGGGAGAGGGCGATGCTCCAGGAGAGACGCCAGCCTCCCATGCAGGCCTCTCACTCAGGGTGACGGACTCCCTGTGCGAGGCCAGGGCAGCAGGACGATGGAAGATGGACAGCAGAGCGGCCGGGCACCAGCAAAGTGCAGCTGGTGGAGCCCTGTGCGCACTTGCCCAGGCGTCGGCTTCTGCCATTGGTTGTGGGGGCGCTGGCACCTCAGCATCAGAGTTGCTAATGGGGTTCTGGGGGGCTGCCACCCACATCTACCCACTTGTCACCACATCCCTGTCACCGGGCTGCTCGGAGTGTCTGAAGCTTATTTCTCCGAGTCCCAAACCCATCCACCCTGGGCTCTCTGCCCAAGCGCCCTCCCTCTGCCTTGCGTGGGCGCCGCCCCTCCCCCCCTGTGGCTCCGCCTTCCTTAGGGGAGGGAGCCGGGGCTGGACTGGGAAGGAGGCGGGGCATGTTCAGAGGCCGCCCAGCTCTGGTGGCGCGTGGCCTCGCCTGGAGGAGTGGAACTGAGCAGGTCGGGACACACAACTGCTCCGGGAGCCCCTCCTCAGCACCCTGTGCCCACAGCTGATCCCGAGTGCCAGACGGATGCCATCAGTCCTGGGCCCAGCCCCTGGGGAGGACCAGCAGCTCAGGGCCGGGGCCTGCCAGGCTGCAGGGCTTCCTGCTGTTGGCTCCAGGCCGGGAGCTGGTCCGGCAGGAGTCTGCCTGCCTCCGCAGCTCTGCCCCGCTGACCCTCAGACCGGGCGGTGGGCGGGCAGTGCCACCGCCTGCCTCTGCGAGGGGCCAGGGAGGCGGGGCCACACAGACTCTGTCCCAGCAAAGCGGCCACAGGAGCACGTACATGAGGAGGGGAGCTGTGTCCCAGTAAAACTTCTTTCACAGAGACGGGCCGGGGCAGGGCCCGTCCCGGCGGCCAGCGTGGCCGTCCATCAGCTCCCGGCCCGGCCTCCTGCCTGCGTTAGGACCTGGGGCAGTGCACAGGCCCTCGTCCTGGGCTATGAGGCCTCCGGGAGGTGATGCAAGTGAAAGCTCACGGCCCGCCCCGGGCCAGCACCGCCGCACCCGTGTCACCGGTGGCCTCTCCGAGCCACAGGAGCACGGGGCTGCTTCCGTAACTGCCCTGATTCCCGGGGGTCGCCGGCTCCCAGGGCTGCAGCCAGGACGGGCAGGGGCTCACTGGGCTTGCCCACTGGTCCCTGCCGTGTCCTTAGTGCCTGGGCCTCTGTGCCTGGCACCCAGACCAGGCCTCGCCCGGGCTCCCCTCCGTGATTGGAGGCACCCCGACCGGCGACGACGGCTGGGAACGGACCAGCTGGATGGGAGGATTCACGGCGGTTGGGGCGGAATGGAAATTGCAGAGGGTCATTTTCCTTCTCACGTCTCAAGGTCGGACGGGATGCTTCCCGTGGCCTCGCTGCTCTGGGGAGGCACGCACATGGGAGGGGAGGGAGTTAGGAGGGAGCTCCTCCGAGCGGGGCGGGGAGGCCAGTCAGCCTCCTCCTGGGGCCTTCCTTTGATTGGTAATTATTTCAGCCTCTGCTTTGCTGATTCTCTGCTTTTGTTTCCAGTGTTTAGATGTTAATTCTTTCAGAGAAATGTGTAATGACACTTGGAGGCATTTAGGATCGGGGTCAGATGGTATAAATAAAGACAGCTGCAGGCCACGTGGGCCAGGCAGCCTGAGCAGGACCCGGAGCACAGGCCACCTGCCCCGCTCCTGCCTCTGGTCTCCCTCCTCCCCACACGTGTCCAAGCAGCCTTGTGGCAAGACGACGGAGCCTGAGGTCTCACCCCGCACCCTCGGCCTGTCCCGCCGTGTTGGCCAAGCCAGGCCCATGGGGAGGGGCGGCCCTCGGGTGGACGGGGCTCTGGTCTGAATCGGAGCCTGCGTTGCCATCCCAGCCGCCTGCCCTCAACGGGTTTGTTCCCTCGTCGGGAATGGGGACCTGGTGGGGGCAGGGCCCTTCCTTGGGTTCCTGTGTGTGACTTGTCCCGTGTGGCACGGCACGTCTGCCCCGAGTGTGACCTCGGCTCCTGCTTCTGCTGTCTCCTGAGTCCCGGCGGGGGGAGGGGGAGGGGCTCAGCGAAGTGCATCTGACGACGTGACCAGACCTCAGCTGCCGACGGCCCGTGCCTGCTGCCAAGGGCTTTCCCAGGACACTGCCAGACCCTCCCAGGTGCCTCGTGCTCAGGGTGTGGCTGGGGTAGTCGGGGGCCGAGGCCTGGCTGGAGGGACGAAGGAGAGGCTGTGGGACGGGGTAGGAGGGCTGTGCCCTCAGATGCTCCGGGTTTGCGTACGTGCGAGTAAGGCTTTATGGTCCTCATTCATACGGACGCACCTGCAGGCGTGTTGGTGTCGGCTCGCCGGAGACCCCGTCCGTCCTGTGGGCGCTTGTGGGAAGCGGCCCCATGTGAGGTCCGTGCCTGCGGGACAGTCCGGTCAGGGTCGCCGAGGAGGCCTGCGCGGCCAGAGTCCCTCTTGTTCTGCTGGGCTCCCCGGAGGGCACTGTCCTCCCAGCAGGTCCTGCCGGGGCGATGCCAGGCCTGGGGCCATCCACACCACAGGCGAGCGTGATGGTCCCGGCACCCCCTGGACAGCAGGACTGCGGGGCGGGCTGGAGCTGGGGGGAGGGAGAGCAGGGACGGCAGGCTGTGGCCCCGGGCGGGCCATGAGTGGGCGGCCTGCGGTGTCTGAGGACGGCCATGGGCTGCCTCCCGCTGCGGCGAGTTCGTGTCCTTCCATGTCCCTGGAAGGGGGCACTTGGCGGGACGTTGTCTGAGAAGATGACATGAAAGCGGCGCCGGGGCCGGCACAGCGCGCAGCTCAGACGCGGCGAGCGGGCGAACGATCGATAAAGGCGCCAACTCCCAGGAACTGAGCACTTCATTTTGAACTCCCAAAGGTCACAGAATGCCAGCGACCCCAGGGTCACGTGAGGCTGGAGCTGGAGGTTTAATGTTTTATGAGTTTTCTTTTTACTTCACAAGAAAGGCTGAGGCGGCAGCACGGAGAGCTCCGCGAGGCCAGGTCCCCTCTCCTGCCGGCTGCCGGAGTGGGGGGCGAGGGGGGGCATCTTTCAGTGGACGTTTGGAAAGCCCCCTGGCGCACTGTGCACTGGATTCCTGGGAACTGTGCTCTTGGGGAGGCCAGCCCCTGCGTGTGCCGCCCTGTCCTCCTCTGCAGTGTGGTCAGGACCCCGCCCCGCCATGGCCACACGCTGGCCTCTGCGTCCCGTGGAGTTTACATAGCCAGTGAGCCCTCTGGCCAGTGCCGCCGCGTCTGCAGGTCCCTGCGCTTGGTCTTAGTTCTCGTGGTCTCTTGCACCCTTTCTCCCACATGGCCCTGCTCCGTCTGCCCTGCCCGTGCCCTCCTGTGGGTCACTCTGAGGGCACCTGCCCCACGGTGCGGCCCTGAGCTGAGCCTGGCCCTGCTCTCTCCCAGCGGCAGCCCCCCATCACCGTCCCTCATCCGGGCCCCCCACTGCTCTCCCTAGTCATGGACTCTCCCTCGGAAGCCCTCAGAGGCAGGGCCGGGGCAGAGGCAGGGCCGGGGCAGAGGCAGAGGCAGGGCCGGGGCAGAGGCAGGGCTGGGGCAGAGGCAGAGGCAGAGGCAGGGCTGGGGCAGAGGCAGAGGCAGGGCTGGGGCAGGGCCGGGCAGAGGCCACTGGGCAGGGCTGGGAAGGACAGTGGCCGTTGGGGAAAGAGTGCGAAACCAGACTCTGAAGGCACTTCACCCCCACGCCCAGAGGTTGAGGTCAGTCTGTGGGCGGTTGGGAGCATGAGAGGCTCTAAGCCAAGTGTCCATCCTTATCTGGAGTCTGAGGGGAAGGCCTGGCCATGGACCCAGGGAGGGCGCTGCGAGCACAGAGGGCAGGATGCTGAGAGCAGAGGTGACAGGAAGGGCAGGGCCTCCTGAGCTGGCCAAGAGGACCTGTGGGGCCCCGCGTCGGTGTCGGAGCTGAGGTTGGAGTTCGGCTGCTCCGGGCCGGGCTGGGGCTGGGGCTGGGGCTCGATTCCCTGCAGCGCGGAGCCGCTCACCTGGCGTGATGCAGGCAGCGCTGCTCTGAGCTGGAGCCCCTTCAGGCCTCGGTTTCCCCCGTGTGTGGGGCGCCCGCCTGCTGGGATCGCCCTGGGTCTGCTGGGAAGCAGACGGTCCTGAGAGGCTCCAAGGAGCTGTTCGGGAGGAAATGACAGCGGCTACACGTGCGGCTCTGTTCTGAGACCAAGTGACGTCGGGCTGGGCCTGGTGGGCCTGCGACTGGGGTGCTGCCGTGGGCCCAGCCTCATCCTCCGCCCTTTGCCTTGTCTGTGCAGCGTCCGGGAGCTGGACAAGGTCAGGCAGCAGCTGCAGGAGGAGGTCCGCCAGGTCAGCGCTCAGCTGCTGGAGGAGAGGAAGAAGCGCGAGACGCACGAGGCGCTGGCCCGCAGGCTGCAGAAGCGGGTCCTGCTGCTGACCAAGGTACGGCTGCGGGGGGCGGGCAGGGCAGGCGGCGGTCACCCGGTCAGGCTGGGCCTGCTCAGGTCAGCAGCGCCCAGCCCAGCCCCACCTCGGCCACTTGTGTTTTGTCTCCGCACCCACGTCTGCCAGGATCTCCACTACGCTCAGCGCACACGCCTCACGTGCCTCGTCCTCACGCCTCGCTCAGCCCTGCTCAGCCGCGGCTCAGGCAGAGCGCCCGGGGCCGGCAGGCTGTGGTGGTGTCCTGAGTGGCAGGAGGGCTCTGACATGCTGTCAGGAGCTCTCCTACCTGGTGTCCCTGTGGGCCGAGCCTGCCTTTGGACAGCTCTGTGGGCCCCAGTGCGTCCTGGGTTTGGGGGGGCAGCCCTCTCCCCCTCCCTTCCACACATGGGTTTGGAGCGAGGATTTGCCGTGTCCAACGTGCTGGGCCTGCACGTCCTCGTCTGTTCTTTGCCTGAAGAGTTGTGGGCTCTGGCTTCACAGGAGGACCTCCCTGGAGAGTGCGTCTGAGTGTCTGTGTGGAGCTCATTAAAGATGCCGCCATCTTAGGGGACAGGGAAGGAGAAGCCCGAATCTGTCTCCAGGTGCTCCCCCGCCCCGCGGCCAGGCCAGGCTGCACGGCTGCGGCCCTCAGGAGGCGCGGTCTGGCAGGCGGCCGCTCTCCGTCGTTTCTGATGGAGACTGCTCTCCTGGCCGCTGGCCTCCTGACGACGGAGCTCTTACAAAGCGAGCCAGGTGCCAGCATTCAGGCGTGTGGGGTCTCTGCCAGCCATCGCCGTGCCCGGCGTCCTCAGAGAAGCCGGCGTGTGGTCTTGGCGCCACGCGGCTGTCCAGGGCCCCCCCACCCCCCCGCCTCACAGGCCCCAGGTGCTGCCTCGGAAGCCTGGGCTTGGTGGGCGGCCCCCCAGGGCAGACACTTCCCATGTCCTCCGGCTGCCTCCTGGCACGGAAGGGGCAAGGCCCTGGCCTGGTCAGCTGGCTCAGTCATGGGAGCCAACACTGAGGGCCTCGCGGACTCCCCTCCCTCCCCCATCTCTGTCGTGTCTGCCACGTCCGCTGGACATGAGGCGCCGTGACAGGGTGTCAGGGCCCTGGTGCAACTACAGTCCAGGAGGGCGGGCAGGCAGGGGAGACCAACACACACACACACACCCGTGCACGCATACCACACACGTGCATCCACATGCATATCCATACACATGCATGCACACCACACATGCATGCACACCACACATGCACACCCACACACATGCATGCCCACACACATGCACACCCACACACGTGCATCCACATGCATGCATATCCATACACATGCATGCACACCACACATGCATACCCACACACATGCATACCCCCACACATGCATACCCCACACACATGCATCCACATACATGCATACCCACACACACTTGCTAGCCGTGATGGGACGCACAGGAGTTGTTTTCGGGAGCTGATGTTGGGCGGAGACCTGCGGGCTCCCTGTTTGTGAAGGAAGGCCTGGGGATCGTGGCCTTGGTGGTGGAGAGCTGACGAGGGGACAGGCAAGAAGGAGCAGCCGGTGCCGCCACCATCAGACCGGGCGTGCGGACGCAGGAGAGGAGGTGACAGCTCCGCAGCTTCGCCAGGGCTGGCTCTCAGGCCGTTGGAGGAGCTGCCCGCTCCAGGACTGGCCGGGGGCAGATGGGGTGAAGCTGCGTGAGGCTGGGCGGTGGCAGGTCTGGACTTGACCGTCCGCGGGTGAGAGACGGAGGCTGAGCTGCGCCGCCCCCCGCCCCCCCCCCCCCCCATGGGAAGCACCGAGCGCTCCTGGGAGGACAGGTGAGGCTGCTCAGACCTAGCGCCGAGCGGCGCTCAGACCGCAGTCTGCTGCGCAGGGAAGGCCAACCGCGTGGCCGCACCCGAGGGCGGTGCCTGCTGCTGGCGTCCGTGGCGGGTGTCTCGTTCCCCCGGCCTGTTGGTTGTCGTTTGTTCACCTCAGGTGACTCGGTGCTAATTGTACGGTCACAGTGCCGCTTGCCTGGTGCTGGGGCCTCTGGAGCTCTCGGTGCTGGTCCTCTGAAGGCCTCACGTGGCCTCAGCACTTTGCTGCCCCTCGCTGCCGGGGGCTGCACGAGGCCCTGCTTTTGTTCAGGGGACCTGGCCGCTGTGTCTCCTCACCTAAAGGCGCAGGACACCTGCTGCTGTGGGGACTCGGGACAGAGATCACTCTCCGCTGGCCCCCGCCGGAGCGAGGGCTGGGCTGGAGGCGGCCACACTTCAGCCGGGGCGGCCAGAGCAGGACAGGCTCCTCAGGACCACGCCTGCCAGGCACGGCCCGAGGGCCGCCGGTGGTCGCCTCAGGCCACTGCTTGCAGCTGGGCGCACGAGGCCGCACTGAGCATAGCTGGCTGCCGGCTGCTGGAGTTGCCAGCCAGCGCCCGCACCAGCCCCGCAGCCACGGGGCCTCGGGGCCTCCGCATCTCAGTCAGCTCACCACGTGGTGGTCCCATCAGCACCTCGGGAAGGGCCTCTCCCGCTTGGAGGCTCCAGGCCAGTGGGTCAGCTCAGGTCCAGACACCCCACTGCAGGTCAGCCCGCGGCGTCCGGGGGGCAGGCTGCACACCCTCAGGCGGTGCTTTGTGTCCCCACCCCCCAGGCCCCACCTGCCAGCCCACGCTCTCTGCGGGGCTCCCCAGCCAGTCTCCGTGCCCTGGCGTAGCCTCCACTCAGGCGGACTGACGCTGCTCTTACTGGCCGACTGCTCTCCCAGGTGCCCAGGCCAACCAGGAGGACACAGGAGGCCGCAGGGCCCTTCTCTCTCACCGGGTTCAGTCTTCCCTGCCCAGAGGGGCTCTGGCGTTGCCGGCAGGATGCAGGGTCTCCGCACAGCGCCGAGTGTGGACAGGGGTGTTGGCCGTGATCTGTCCTGTCCCCTCCGTGCTGCCTGTTGCAGAGCGTCACACAGGTGCAGCCACGCAGCCCGCGGCCTGTCAGACTGGCTTCCGCCACTTGGTCACCCGCAGCCGAGGTTCCTCCGCGTCTCTTCATGGCGGGCAGCTCATTTCTTTTTCCCGCTGCATCATGTTCCGCCGTCTGCGGGGCCAGTTTGCTTGTCGTCGCCTGATGAAGGGCGTCTCAGTGGCTTCCAAGTCCTGGCAGTTTTGAGTCTGTACATGTGCGCAGGGGTTTGAGGACATGGGTTCACCTTCCGTGTCTGGGCCACTTGGCCAGTCTCCAGCTCGGAGTGTTTCCCGCCGGCTCTCCCTGCACTGAGCTGCGCCCTCTGCCTGCGCCTGGGAGGTGGGCACAGGGCAGGGGAGGCGGAGGTGGGGGCCAGGCAGAGGGTGCCACTCGCCGTCGGCCCGCATCGCACCGCTGGTGGCTGCGCATCTCAGATTCTCCGGCTTCCTGTGGTTGCTGCTCTGAGCATAGTGACTCAGACCCTGGGAGCCCGGATGGGGCGTCCGGGGGACTCGGGGGTCAGGTGAGGCGTCCCCGAGCACAGGGACTCGGGTGCAGGGAGAGGAGGTCGGCCCCTCCCGCGTGACCCTGCGCCTGGCGGCCTGGGCTCTGGCGCTGCGTCGCCCACAGGAGCCTCTTCCCTGAGAGAGAAGCGGCTCGTGTCCGCGCTGATCGGGCAGAGACCAGAGATGCGCGCTCTCCTCGCACACCCGTCCTTGGAGTCTGAGCTGCTAATCTCGTTAACAGGGTTCCTCACGCGTGCCTTCCTCGGAAAGCTCAAAGCTGTGGTCTCAGGCGGCACCGAGGGAACACGGAGGCGCTCCCTCCCTGCCCCGTCTCTGCGGCCCGCCCTCCGTGTGGTGTCCAGCTCGCTCCGTCTCAGAGCTCTTCGCCCGTTCCCAGCCCCCACCGAGATGGGGAGGGGGCACCACCTTGGCCTGAGGGCGGTGTGGAGAGGGGTGTGGCGCTGCTGAGGTGGAAGGGGCGGGTGTGGGTAACCTGCTGCTCCTCCCGCATCCATGTGCGTTTCTGACGTGCTGCGCGGAAAGGGCGTCCGCCAGGGAGCTGTCAGCTCTCCTGGGACTGGTCCCGAGGCAGGGCCGCCTTCCTCTGCACCGTGTCCTGGTGTCCCAGGCGGAGGGGCCAGCGCTAACCACAGGCTGCCGTCCACCAGGGCAGCGCTCTGACTGACTGGGAGAGGCTGAGGCACAGGGTGGAGCAGGCGTGGCGCGCGCAGCCCTGGGCGTCCTGCGGAGGCTGAGGGTCCAGCAGGCCTGGGAGGACGGCTGTGCCAGCCCCGTGTCCTTGCTGACGATTAAATCCCTCTCATCGTGTGGAGACCTGTTCTCTCTTAACTCAATTTCGAAGAAATCCAAATCTTTGAATAACCTTCATCCTGAGAGGAAAGGAAGTGGCTGCAGGTGAAAATTGATGGTCACGCCAAAGGCATGGCTCCCTGCCAGCTGCCTCTCAAGTGTGCAGCTAAAAATAGCCTGCGCTCGCGGCCGCTGGGCCGCCTCCAGGCCACTCCCGCGCCTGTCTCAGCGATGCTGATGCTGAGGGTGCTGGCTCCTCGCTGCTCCCGGCCTGGGGGGCACGGCCTGGGCGGCCTGCGGGGGGTCGGGTCAGCATTTATGGTGCACAGGGCAGCTCTCTCCCCTGACCTCTGCCCCCACCGGGTTCTCCTTGGGTGCGGCCCACCGTGCGAGTGCTGGGCCCGAGGAGCTGGCAGATCCCGGGGCCTGCATGCCCGTGGCGCGTGGCCCCGTTGGGCTGTGTGGTTTTCTTGCTCGCCGGGGCAGTGGTTCCTCCTAACCGGGGGCTTGGCCATCACTTGGCACCCGGCCAGCCTCTCGGGGCTTATCCAGTGTCCACGCGCGTCTGGGTTTTCACAATGGGGATGCGCGCACTGGCTGCCCCCCGCTCAGGCGCCTGCTCTGTGCTGGGCCCGCTGCCGTGCGATGGCGTCCTCCCTCCTCACACAGCTTATCCTCCAGGAAATGTGTGTCCACTGCGGGTCTGGGTCCTGCGCAAGGAGCATCATGAGTAGCAGTGACTGC